CATACAGGATACAATAATACTACAAATAATAATCTTACACAATCTTCCAGGCAGAAATACTATCTTCAGTAGAAACGGACACCGATTTCTACTGAAGATAGAAACTCTCTCCGCACAAGTGTAACTTAAACAAACTGACCTGCGTTCACCCATGTTTCATCCATATAAAAAGTACGACGATGCTCCTCTTTGTACTTCTTAATTTTATCGCTGGCAAGCAAGCTGGTACTAGCACAAGATAATATTGATAATATGGTAAATACCTTTAACAATTTCGTCATTGACTCGATGGACTCATTCGCCCCTGTTCGTAAAAGCACTTTTAAATTACCCTCTGCCCCATGGATGACTGATACTATTAGAAAAATGGAGTCAATTCGTGACAAGGCTTGCCACGGGGCCAAAACTACAAAGTCGCAAAGTAGTATGCAATTTTACCGTGATTTGCGCAACTATTATAACCGAGCAGCTACTCTAGAAAAGCAGGCATATTTTACTAGGTTTGTCAACAATAATAGGTCAAATCCTTCTCTGATGTGGCGTCACATAAAACGAAAAATTTCACCTTCCGTAAGAAACCGTTCCATACCGGACCATCTTCTTGACCTTGATTCACTTAATAATCACTTTACAAAGACCATATCATGTGCACCTCCCGACAAAAGTGTTATTCAAGAAATCGAATCACTTAAACACTCTGAAATTGAATTTCAATTTGTAGCCGTAAGTGAAATGTTAGTGAAAAGTATAATTGCTTCTACAGCTACTAATGCGACCGGAACTGATGGCATCTCCATGTTGATGTTAAAACTCACGCTTCCATATTCTTTGTCGACGATAGTCAATAAATCTATATTGGAAGGAGTATTTCCAGAATCTTGGAAATGTGCCATCGTCACTCCCATTCCTAAAACATCAGTGGTGGATAATCTTTCTGATATAAGACCAATAAGCATTCTTCCTGCGCTATCTAAAATAGTGGAAAGACGCGTTCTTTATCAAATTTCACCTTATCTAGAACGTAATCAAGTACTACCTGTGATTCAGTCTGGTTTTAGAAAGAATCACAGTTCAGTATCAGCTCTTTTATATATTACTGATGATATTCTTTCTGCGTCCAATGAGGGTAAGGGAACAATTATGGTTTTGCTAGACTTCAGCCGCGCTTTCGATTGTGTTGATATATCTGTCCTATTGGCAAAATTAAAATACTATGGTGGAATCGGCCTGCACCTGGTTTCAATCTTATTTCCGTAATCGTTGCCAAAAAGTGAAATGTTTGAATATCCTCTCTAAAATTGTTAATGGTGTTGTTGATTGCCCTGAACTACTGGGTATAATAGGTTTACGTACCTCATCATCTAACTTGCGGAAACATACACTTTTATCGGTACCATACGTGAAAAGTAATTATAGACAAAACTCTTTTATTATACGATCATGCAAATCTTTTAATGCTACAGCACATATTCACAACGTGGATATTGACTTATTTCATTCCAGCGTTACCCAACTTAGGCGATTACTTTCTAACAATTTCTTTTCTTCTCGATAGTGTATACTGTTACTTGCCATATACTTGTACATATCAGTTTTGACACAATCTTGTTTATTATAAAGTAGTATATAAGTGAAAACTTGTAAATGGCCTTTATTTTTGTTATAATTATATTATTTTTGTAAATTAGATGTAAGTTTTCCAAATAAATAATATATAAATAGCCAAGGACTTCTAAACGTCTCCAACACGCTCCCACTTAATAAAGGTGTATCCAGGTTTCAATACTTGGTCGCACATCATTCGCAATTTACACGGCTAACGTTACTAAAGCTATAACTCACTCGAAAATTCACTTATATGCACATGACAGCCAAGTATATGTTCACACAGCGCCAATTGTTGAGGAGGTTGCTGTTGCTATTTCCAAGTTAAACAAAGATCTTGATTCCGTTGCGGAGTGGTCTTTGAAATATGGCCTGGTACTTAATCCCTTAAAGAGTGTCACCATTATACTTGGAACAAAGCACCAGGTAAAAAGCAATTAAGGGACGGAAGTCTCTTGTTAAGATCTTTGACACCGTCATACCTTACGAGGGTTGCGTTCGCAATTTAGGTCTCCTCATGGATGAGAATTTAAAATTTTAAACATGTTCAGACTAAAATCGGCAAATGCTATGGTTCGTTAAAAGCTTTGTATAAAATTCGCTCATTTCTAAAACGTGACATAAGACTACTGCTTTGTAACAGGTTAGTACTATGCCACCTTCATTATTGTGATATTGTTTATGGTCCATGCTTATTTAAAAAAACTGTGAAGAAAGTGCAGAGAGTGCAGAACGCATGTATGCGTTTTTGTTTTAATATACCAAAAAGGGATAGGATTTCACCTTATTTAGACAGTAATGGCATTTTAAACATGTGCAATAGTACTAAGTTAAAATATGCCTGCTTTCTGCACACTCTACATCACGCAAAGTCTCCAAGATATCTGTATGATAAGATAGCCGTTGAAAAAAAAAGTTTGCTTTCAGTCAGAGAAAATAGTTATCGGCTTCCACTACCCAGGATTAGACTCGCTGGAGCCAGGGGGTGTTTTAAATTTGCCGCTGCTAAAATTTGGAACGATTTGCCACCACCAGTCCGGTCTATCCTATTTCCATCTACCTTCCGACAAAGATGCCGCAAGTGGCTTATTCAAAAACAGTCCCTGGCTCTATGTGGCGTTGATACCCCCTCAAATTAGACATTTTTTTTGTATTTAGCAACTATAATTTATTAATTGTTTTATTTAAATTTTTATTTTTATCTTTACTTTTTTATTGTTGATACGTGTGTTTCATCAATTGTCTAAGACCCTGTATGAATTATGTGCAAAGGCTGTGGCAGAATAGCAGGAGTAATGGGTTTCCCGTTACAAGTGAGTCACAGACCGTTTAGTCACAACTAATTATTAATACTTTTTTATTTTATTTTAATTATATCTAAAATACTAGCTGCTTTCTGCGCCATCTCTTTTCTGTATGGGTATTTATCACTAGGCCAAGTTTCTTTAACATATTTGTAGGTATTAATAACCATATGATTTTCATTTATAGTAAAACTAGTTACCTTCTTCCTCCTTCAATCTTTAATAAATTAAGAAAAGTTTTATTATTACAGTTGCTGTTTTTTAAATAACTATAAAGTACACTCCGAACCAAGAAGTTTTAATTAAAACTACTAATCAACATTCATATATTATATCCTATTCCTATGGATATTGGACGTTTCCTTTTTGGAGAAGTAAAATCTGTTGATTTATCTCTTGACGTACTTGGTTGTGGCTCCATCATTAAACGCTCTTAATAAAAACAATTATCAACAAAACAAAATAACAATAATTAAATAAACAACAAAAAATAACAAAAATTTTAACAAATAACCACAAGCGCGTTCTGAAACGGACGGTATTATTACTAAAATCGCCTCCCGAATGTTGGCGAACCTGTCTTGATCCTGACATGTTTTTGCTGGGAAAACGAGACATTACGACAAATACACAAGATGGAAAGAGATAGATAACAGATTGTCAACTCCACAGTCGTTTTAAAGGTAAATGAACTTTCGTATCGCTGCTAGCTGGCCGTAATTTATATTAACACTTCCTATAATTATTATATTTGAAATATATTCAAATATTTTATTTGTTAACTAAATGATGCCCGCGATTTCGGGCACGTGGGTTAAGGTTTTTTAATTGCCGCGGAAATTTTTGATTTTCTGGGATAAAATGTAACCTACATGTGTTTGGTTACTATGCCACTTGATAAGTACTGATGCGGTCGGAAATAGCAAAGCACACTAACCTTGCTTTACAAAAAAGCTTGCTAAAAAGATTAGTTTTATTTAACCTTATCGGTGTCATCGATAAGCCCCTTAGCACGCCTTCCATTGAGTCCAAAGGTGTTAGGTGGTATTTTGCTGCACCAGCAGCCTCTAAATAGCAGCAGTATTCCATGCAATCAGCAACACCGTACTTGCGCTCTATACAGGGTTACTTTGCATTAACAGACCAAATTTGTAGAGAAGATTCTGAATAAGTAATATGTATAGACAAATAGTGTAGAAAAATTAATTTAAATAAAAAAATCTCAAACATTGTCTTTTTATCTTTTAATTTCAAAATACGCGGTAATGCATAATTTAAACTGATTTTACTGTGCACGCACTCATTCGTAAAGGTCGATGGGTAGGCAAAAATTTTGTTGCCCATAAATCACATTCAATTTGGGATAATTTCAAATAAAGGTAGCAGCCTTATTTACTACTATTTTCAAAAACTACAGTAACGGCATTTCGTTATTTATATATTTGAACTTAAATACAAAATATGGCTACTTTTTTTAAAAATAACCTTATGGTAGTAAGGTATTGCCGCACTTTTGCATAGTAAACAGACTTCTTACGTACATAAAATTAAACTGCGAGCGTATTAAATAAGTTAATGTTGTTTACATTTATTTCATAGTAAAAGTATGACAATCAAAACAACAATATTTTATTTCTTCTGTACAATTTCCATAGACAATTTATTTTATTGATAATTTTATGAAATAATGATGTGCCACGTTTAAAGTTACTAAAATTAAAATTTGATAATATTCCCTAAAGAAACACGCGCAAAAGTAATATAGAATTATTTTAATATATCCTAGATAAATCGGTTTTAAGTATCGTTCTCACTTTTGTTTTCATAATTCATAGCGTTTGTCCAAAACATAATAGATAATTCTAGTAAATGGTAACATTATAAAAATAAACTTGTTCGTGTCGTGTGATGATGAACTTGTGAACCGGCGTTCCTGTCTGCCTTTTCGTACATTTAGATTTTTTGTGTTAGTTCTTTGTTCGTTATTCATGTTGCAAATGAAATAATCAACTTCAATTTGTGTGAGTTTAATTATAATTTTGTTTTACGTAGTGTAGTTTGAACGATAAAAGAACAATGTTAACAAACGACATGAATATGGAGAATGGCGGCGGCGACGCTAATTCCAATGTGTCACCTACCAAACTCATGGTCAACTATATACCCGAATTAATGACTAGAGATATGATGTACGCATTGTTTTCCGCGATGGGAAAGATTGAGAGTTGCAAACTAATAGCTAACAGAGGCTACGGTTTTGTCGAATATGAAAAACACGAGGACGCAGAAAAGGCGAGAGCAGCGTTCAACGGACTCCTTATGCAGGGAAAGACTTTAAAGGTTTCTTTTGCACTTCTTAACCCGGAGAACAAGGTCAGCCATAAACCCGACACCGAATCGAATCTCTACATAAGCAATTTACCGCCCGACATGACACTAGAGAGACTCAATAGCCTGTTCAGTCAATTTGGAAACATAACCAATAGCCGCGTTTCGCAAGGAATTGGTTTCGTATGTTTCGAGAATCGCCAACAGGCGGAGGATGCTATACAACATATGAATGGACAGACACCGATTCCCGGCGCGGGTGCAATAGTTGTTAAGTTTGCCAACAAGCCGAATGCAAATAAAAACGCGCCGAGGCCAATGCAGAGGGTAGTAGGTGGCCCGACGATTGCGTACAATGGCGCTGCTGCCGTATTTAATGGTACCACACCAGCTTTCAACGGCACTAATCTCAGTGCGGCGTTCGGTGCGCGCCCCGCTGCTTTTGCTCCAGGATTTCCTCAGGCTTCACCGCCACCTTTATTGCCATCTCCCGGTAAGGCGCTGCCATTCATCAATAAAGGCCAGCAGCGTTTCAACCCTATGGCGGCAACGAATCATACGCCGCTTCCTCTCATAGGTGCTCCTGCTAGTCCCGTTCCGCTTCTTGGAGCTCCACCGGCCCCCCATCAGACCACAGTGTATGTATACAACATTGGTGAGGACACTGAGGAGTTGGCGCTGTGGCAACTATTTGGTCCTTATGGTGCTATTGATTCAATAAAAGTAATCAAAGACCCTGAAACTAAGAAAAACAAAGGTTTTGCATTTGTTAACATGCGCGAGTATGATGAGGCCGCTATGGCCATCCAGGCATTAAATGGCTATACGCTCAATGGACAGGTTCTATCGGTTAGCTTTAAGACTCAGAAGAGAAACAATTAGGATACTAACGGACGTTAAACGCCATCTCAATTGTGATCATTTGAGGCAGAAACTTAAAGATTATTTCATTCCAATCTCAAAATATTTTTTTAGTCAAGACGTGAGATCCTCTATGTGCATTTCAGATTAGTCGCATAAGTATTTTTGTAAGATTTAAAACTAGTTTTATATTCGCGAGAGCGCGACATGACTATCTGTGAGTTGAGTTGCTTGACAGTATCTTATATGTGTACTCTTTTATCTTATGATATGGTATTATATTATTGGACTATGTATGGGCCTGTTGCACTATCTTACCATGGCGGACACTGGCGCTACGCCCGCAGCGTCCGGGGCCCGCCCCCATACCCTCCAGGTATTTTATTTTGTGTAAAACAAACCATTGTATGTTTTTTAATCTTTAATAAATTTCATGTTTAAATAGAATTTATTGTATATTACTCTATTTTTTTTTCTATATACTCATTCCCCTATCCTCTCCCTATTTACTTACATAGTATACGTAATAAATAATCCATACATTATAAATATAATTATTTGTGGCAGTAGTTCTTTTTAACATGTACATAATATATAATTGTGTGTATTGTCCGCTGGCAGATCAGCTGTGTAAAACTGCTTTAAATATTGCATGTTGTGTAGTCAAGATCAAAAATAATTTTTTATTTTGTTTATGTTACCTCAGGTTTTGATGGCTCCATTATTACATTTTATCCTATTACTTTGTTAATTATTTTAGGTGCGATATTTTGGGGCTTGTAGGTTCGACAGTCTAATGTTACTGACATTATATTTAAATTACACCCCTCCTAGGTGCTGTGACATTCATTATTAAACTTTTATGCTTTATATGGCTTTGAGTCAAAGTCCTGTTTTCTACTTATTGTTAAGAGAAGTAATATATGACTATGAACAGTTAAATTAGAATTAACTTCAATGTCTGTAGGGATAGGGTAAAATTTGAGAAAATGCAGTGATCCGTTGCTAATTAACAAGAAGGGAGTGTGTGTGATACTGAGACTGCCACAAATTTACTTTGTGCATGTTTCCCTCTGTTTGAGACAAGACCGTAGGAGTGAAAGTAGAAAGTAAGTATTCACCGTGACATCTGCATGGTGAGTAACATTGAAATTTGTTTACAGCAATGTTGTTCATTAATGAATAAAGAAAAAAATGTTTTAAATGAAGCAGTCAATTTTTGTTTATTGCAAGTTTACGTTATATACACGTATAATTCTCTAAACGTTTTTGTGGCTCGTTTTCCCTTCGTTGAGTAGTTTTTCACGTTGGAAACGTAAAGTTCTTTGCATGAATTTGATAAGTTGCCATTCGTCGATACCTGTTGATGACTAACGTAATGCGGCGATAACGTGCTGGCATATTGATAATATATTAACTGGCCGCCTGTTTGTGTTTATCATGAGATCGATAGTTTCAAAGTGTCAAAATGCTACAAAGTTTACCGAGCGAACAAAACCTTTGAGAGTTCAAACTCCCAGCTGCCCTCCTCAAGGGCATGTCTATAAATACGTCATAATATACAGATGTTGGCGGCGACCTTACGCGCGTCCTGTGCAGACGAAAATTATGTTTTGATTTGAAGATTTGGAAAAATATAATTATCGAATTGCATCGTCTTTATTGTGATTTATATTATGATCTTAGAAGAAATTACGAATATGAATCGTTTTACCATAAAGTTAAAATTAAAATTGCTCAAAACACTTAAATATCTTTAGACTATCATTACATAAAATCAAGGCTAATCGCGGGATCGTGAGATTGTTTATCTATTTCATAAAATTATTGTGATAATATTGATCAATAATTATATTTGTAAATTCGTTTAACATAAAACAACAATCAGTTAAAAAATAAACAAATTCAATTTGTTAAACGCCCTAATGATATATGTACCTCTTATATACCTATATTATGTACAGACGACAAACGAGCCTTAATGGCATTGAACTTGTAAAGAATAGCGTCTGATGACTGATGAATTAGCAAATAGAGGTTATTTTTTGCGAAAATCTGTATGAAAGCCAACCTACCTATTATTTGCTATAAAAAAGTTACTTATATGTAATATAATTTACTAGTAGATTTAATAGAAGTGTTGGTATAAGCAGTGATTCCCGCCGTTAGTCAAGGGCATTCACCGTTTTATCAAGTTTATGGAAGCGGCAAGCGTGTCGGGTGATACAAACTATTCTGAAGCACGAGTTCTTGATTTTTCGTCAGGGTCAGGGCGACTCATTTCAATCATTCACTATTTTTAATTAATCGCCTTTCTTATTCATGTGCATATAAATGTCAGATTTTTTAGAAATAAGAAAGTAATAGACATATTTTATAAATACATAATTTTGTAAAGATTTTACTATTTAAATTTCTTCTTCGTTGGGTTTTAAAATCGACCGCTGAGGATGGGTCTCACCCATTGTATCGTCACGGTACCTACTTTACCCTTAGACGCTTTATTTAAATTCTCTACAAATATTAATTCGTATGGATGTTCCATGTGTAATATTTTAACAGTGAATTTAAGGGGAACAATTAACAATAAAAGATATAAAAAGTACAACGCCACACGCTATCTCAACGACATAAAAATATTTTTATAGTACATGATGTGTACACTGTGCAAATATTGATTGTAGCGAGACAGAGTTGAAAAACAATTGGTATGTTATATAAGTGTAGTATTTAGAGTATCCACCAGTTTCTACTACAAACATGAGTAAGTTCGGACGCGCGTTTATACAATGATTTTGCGACCTGCCGGCAGTCGCCGCGTGTAGAATATTAGAAACATGATATGCTTGCGACTTTGTCCGCGTGAATGCGAAGAAAAATCATATTTTTTAAACCAGAACAAAAACTTTTAGAATAGAAATAGTTTTCGAATTAAATCCGTGTCCATACCGACCAATTTTTTAACATTAGATTCATGCTTTGAGTTTGTTTGAATACTCAAATGATTCATGTTAGAAATCAAATATATAGGATAAAGAACTATTTGGCGACAGAAAATTCGAAACTAATGTAAAGTCACTACAATATCATTTATAACTCATAAATATACAAATGTAATATACACGATATAGCGAAACGAGGACTATTTATGGGCGAAGGAAAAAACACGTTTACATGAAGCTAAATTGATTCAGCGTAATAATAATAGTTTGTATGGGGCGATAGTAGCGATAGCTTCAAAAATACGATAATGTTATGCGTTATTCTTACTCAGTGATCAAAAAGGCCAAGGCCTAGTGTATAATATTTTAACAGATAGAACTGGTATGTATAACAAGAAAAATCTGTTTCTTTTAACATAATATGTCGTATTCCGGTTCTGCGTGGAATTAATACGTTGCTTATGAAGAGTATAAGGTTTGAAAGGTTAGTCGTAGCGAGAAACAACTTACCTTTAACAACCGTAAGACAAAACTCAGTTTATAAAATAGGGTATTTTTGATTTTATGAACTACCTGTGCACTTGCCTCATACACGTCCGCGTAGAAACGTCGTTTTTTTATCTATATGCACATATAAATATATAAAGTATATATTGCTTTTATGTTATTTAAATTAGCTTATTTCGTTTTTTGCTATAACATATTGGCCTGCTATATTATTGTGTATAATTTACAAAAAAAATCCAATAACTAATATAATTGGGCGTAATAATTAACCATATTTTTGATATGCGAAAAATAGGGTAATAGTGAAACAATTCCTGCAGAAGTCTCCTATGTGTTTTAAGCAACCTCACAAAGAAATCTAAGCAAGCTATTAATCATGGAATATCGATTAAAACTTCAAACATCCCTTACTAAGTAGTAGTTACTTGAATATTGGACCCTTTTTGTGTAACTACGTCCAATGATTACACTTCCATCTTTATAAATAAATAAATAGGTTTAGCAATTTATAATAAAAAAGCTAAATGTATAATAACAAAAACTTTTTTTAATGATATTTAAGCAAGGCCTGTCCAACCGCGACTGACATTATTTATTTTGTAGTAGTATTCAGAATAGTTTTAAAGAATAACCGGATAAGCATGCTCGTATAGGCATGCCCCTAGATATTTTTTTTACATTTGTAGCTACCGTTGAAGACAGTTTCGATTGTGGAGATGGATGGATTACTCTGATAAATTCATCAGATGTGCTGTTATTTACTGGCAGAATGCCACCGTGACTAGGGTTGCTTATAGATTCCACCGTCGAAAATGTAAAATTTTATTACATTGTCCTATTTTTGATGTGAACGTGTATGTACAAGTAATATGTAACATATCTGACGGTAACGTGTTAATTTATCGCTTTTTTAATGTGCTGGAAAATGTAATTTTAGAGATTAGAAATTAGTAAGTAGGCTTCAAAATTTTACATCTACACTCGCGAGCAACTACTAGCAGCACCAACAAGTCATTTTAAATATTGATATAATAAGTAAAAATATGATATTAATTTTATATTATATGCTTCACTTTTTGTTTATTAAATTAAAAGGGCACAAGTCACGCGCACGTGCTGCGTGATAGCGTTCAGTTGTTACAAGCCTCTTAAACCCTTCTCCGGTCTCCCTCGGTTTTAATTTCCACTTAGGGAAAATGTCTGGCAAGCTAATTGGTAGAATCAGGCGTCAGCGGAAATCCATAACTCTTTATTGTCTGGCAAGCTCTTATCGCACTTGCTCTCATTGTATGATTTTTAATATTTGTAACAGTTTTTACCCAACAATTTGTGTGTGTATTTAGACAATAGCGAAACATCGAATAGCTGAAATGTACTGTCTTCATTTTCATTTAAATTTTCGGCGATAATTTTACTTTCGTCCTCGTCGTCGTCATCTTTCCTCAACACTGGAACAGTCGCGTTGATGCTCTCCGCAGCTTTTTCTTATTATGTGTATCCACTTATTTCTGTAAATAGGAGCATTAGGTATTCTGTAAAGTTGTATAAATAAAAAGTTTACACGTGACAGTA